CCTCGACCTTAACCTTTTTAATCACGTAATATTTTATTTATCTTAGCAATTATCGTAGCGCTCGCGTTTTACGTCGTCGTCGGGTTTTTTAGTCAAAGCTGTGCAATTGTGCCAATGTCTCTGCTGAAACGAATAGATGAAAGAAAGGGATAAACCGCCGCCGCCGCCGCCGCCGCCGCCGCCAACGCCGTCACGGCGGCCGCGTTTATCGGGTTTTGACGCAAGAAATCGCAAACGCGGTTGCCTATAATCATCTGTAATCGCGGAAGAAAGGGAGACGGGGACACGACGGCTGTGCTAGTACGACCGGTTACACTGTGATTGTCAGGTTCCTAGAAGGTGTAACACGCTTGTCTCTGCGGTCACGTTTTGTGCCATTCCTTTCGCATCGTAAATGACAATTTGCGACGTTTAGGAAACGTTAATACATTGTATGTGTTTTCTCCCGGGTAGAGAGAAAATAGTGTCAAAACATTTTCATCCGTCTCATCGTAATTTTTCGACCTCTACGGAATCGGATCTTACAACACAATCGCGGTGTAAATTGTTTGATCCAGTAATAAACAAATTTTTCAAAAATTTTGAGCACATTTTTATTTCGACAAAAACTAAAAATACTCTGTGCGTTTACATAACGCGCGCGACGCAAATAGAATTTCTAATATCGCACAAAATACAAGAGAGAGATACTTCTTCTCAAAAATTTCATCTCGAACGCCGTCATGTAACACAAAGTACGATTTTTCAAAACTCTCATTTTATCGCCGTACTGTCACGTACGTCGAGATTCTCTTTTAAAACTTATTTTAAACTGCTTCTTAAACTGTCTTCTCGCGGGGAATAAATTTGCATGCATTCACTCTCGTGGCGCGCAATGTAACGCGAAAAAAGGAAGGTGGTCGTGAAAGTTTCGCACAGTCGAGCAGAACGACTTATACGCCGGAGCACGAGTGGCGTTGAAACTAATTGTCTCGCAGCCTCTCGCGCGAATTTCGTTATCCTTCAGCGATACGCTTCCGACATGTTCTTGGAAATCTATTTTTTTTTTTTTTCCTATTAATTGTACTAATTAATAAGATCGTTCCGCGAAATTCCCACACGATCCTCGCATCGGACAAGAGGGCGCGCGCGCGCGCTCGCGCGTGTTTTCTATATATTACTCCCACGCGATGAACACAGTCTTCCTGTTTACAACATTGTCTTTGACGAAAGTCGACGTTACGACGCCGCTGTGAGAAATTGTTTGATCTCGCGCGAGATTGTTTATAAATTTCTTTGATATATTTGTTTCAAGAATATCACCTCGGGGTATTTTTCGCTTTTAAACCACCAAGTTTACACATGTAAACGCGATACTTCCAAGTCTTGTCTCGAACGCGATGTCAACAAGATTCACGCAGATACGTAATCAGCGTTTCTCTTTCCGTTGCGTGTAAGAAGATTCGCCGTCGATAGAAGTTGGCGAGAAAAGACGAACGAGACAACGGGAGGAGTTCGCGACTTAGTCCGACGGGTTTCTCGGACAAACAACGTGATCTTACGGGCATGCAGAAGAGAAGGGAAATGTCCTGCGGGACGAGCGTGTGTCGCGACGAGAGAGAAAGAGATCGTCTGTGTGGAAATACACTCGGGAAAAAAAGGGAAGACCTATTCGACGTGGCGCAGGAACGACGTTTGCACGCTACTCGAACCGTTACGTCAACACGTATTGCTTGACTGAAGCTTTTCGAGCGCGGATCAAGAATGGCGTCTTCGAAATGTTACTTGCCATATTTATTGTGCGATTCTCTCGCGAAAAGATCAGATTCTGAATGAAATCCCATTTTGAAGAGAGCTTTTGTCACAGTTCTGACGTATGTATGTTGCAGCGCTTGACGTGCATCTCGGACGAAAATCTTTTACCGAATGTTAAAAAATAAAGAAGAGACGTTGGTTTAGAAGAGCAATGCGTCAAGAGAGACGTTAAAGAGAATTGAGATGAAAATCGATTTGTCACGCGCTTGCCAAACCAATGTATGCGCGTTGGTTCTTGCGTGTTTATAAAAGCTTGTGAAGAAAAAAAAAATATCTATGCCGATAGATATTTTGTACTTTCACCGACACATTAGCGAATTAGCCGTTCTGCGTTTTAGCTCCGATAATATGTCCCGCCATTCATCGAACCATCATCTGTCATTTACATAAGCGTGACACGCGCGTTCGCTCTCAGGTATAATCAAAAAATACCTCCTTGCATTAACTCCAAATTACCAGCCTTCGTATTTCTTTACATAATAGATCGCATTATACTTTTAAAGCATGTACTTTTACTGCTATAAATAGATGTAATGAAATATTTATATTATTTATATTTATATAGTTTTGTTTTTATTACATTATTTTTTATTATAACTGAATAAAATAAATATAATAAAATCACATATTTTTTTTATTCAATTATAAATGAACGTTTATCAACGATTTATCAAGTGATTCGTGTGTGCGCGTAAAACGCGTTATATTTCTCGATTGGTGTTCGAAGGCAAATCGATTGTCGAAAATCGGCGTCTTTTCAGTAAGGATCTTCGGGTGGAAATCGCGCTCGCGCATGAAGTTGACGCGAAGTATGTTGCGTAATTGGTGCGCGTGCGATATTTCACAAAGCATCAGCCGAGAATTACCAGCGGCATCTCGCGCTCAGCGAGACACGGCGACGCGAGCTCTCTATTTTGAAGCTGCGGGAGATTTTTAGAAATATAGGTCAACAACGTAATCGTGCCCCTTCCATCTCTCGCGTTGGTGTCGTTGCAATGTCCTGGACGACGCGATCGTTTCTCTCTTCCGTTCTTCTTAAATTTACCGCAAGATACCGCGCTAACTTGGGACGCTCGTTACGATTTGAAAGTACGTTCGAGCTACATTTTTTGTTTAAGCTTTTATTTAATTTAAGTGACTCCGAAAGAAAAACCAACACGCTAAATAAAAGACAATTTTTATTGTGACTCACAACCGTACATGTCCCGAGCAAAGCGGTTATCTCAAGTTACCACGTGTTCCGTATAAGTGCACTCGTCGATTGGCAAAGTTAGAAAGGATATTGACTTTGGTTTGCGAGTTAAGTAAAGTTCTAAAGCGTTTTCTCTCCTTTCAACTTTTAGAGAACGGTTGTTGCACGAACATCTGTGTGACGTTCTCTAAAATAACTCTTCTATGAAAATATATATATCATACAGTTTTCGCGCGTAATGTGTTTATATGATATTGCATCTTTTGATTGGTTTGTATGTAAATATAGAAATACGAAGAAATTTATTCTCGATTGTTTGGTTTACTCGCAACTTTGTCAGATTAAATAGAATCCAAATGACATTGATGTATCACATCAGTGTGTATTTACGAATATCGATAATTCGAAATACGTAAAACATATTAATCAGCATCCCATCGTTTTTGCGAACATCACTATCAATATCAATTAATCTCTCGCGTAATAAAACAAACAAAGCAGTCAATTTTCACGTGTGTACATCGAAAATATTAAGGGAGAGGTAAATTTTGGCCGCGGCATCTAGGTTCCCAATTGTTTATCGATGCGTGCTACTCTCACTCTCGTCTCATTTTACGTAAACGCGCGCGTTTCGTCGACGGCGCACACCGTTATCCCCCGCTGGCAACGTGCCGCGCGCTGGACCTGGCGGATCTTAATCTCGTGAAAGAAGGAAGCGACCTAAAAAAAGAACGCGCCGGAAGAAAGTCGTCGTTCTCATCGGGGTTACTTACCTCTGGCAATTTATCGCCGGTCGCGATTCGGCTCGTTCAGCCGTTACGAGATCGCGGGGGGATTTACGTCGACCGATCGTCCGGCTGTTACATTTTTACGGCCCTTCGCGCCGAAAGATTTAGAAGCGACCCGGTCTCGCTCCAGGCCGAAAACTTCGGGATCGTTCGCGAGGAAATCGTTCGAATTGGATCGGGTTGCAAACATTCGTGGGAATAAGCGAAAACAATCGGAATTGCCGCGATTCCTCGTTTTACACGCGACACATGTTCTGTCAAAATCAGGAATATCGCGAACTTGTTGCTTTCGCAAGCTCAGATTTTTTTGTTCGAACTTTTAGAATTTTCTTCGATAGATGAGAGCAAAAAGTGGGATATATACGTGGACGACATTTTGAAGATTAGCGAGGTCAAAATAAATCTTGAAAAACGGTTTATTGAAATTCTTTGAATTTTTTATCACGCGATCTGATTCTCGCGCGATCTGATTCTCGCGATTAATTAGATATCGTCAAGTCATCACGAATATTACTCGCACGTTACGTCGACTTTCTAGTTCGGGTATTTTAAGCCGAGAGGCGGCTTATATTTGGTGAGAACCACCTGATTCTAAAGCAAGCGATTATCATCACGCGCGTATGAGAACAGCGCGTATGTGGACCAACTGATCCGCAGATAAATTTAGCAGATTAGCCGCATTAGCCCGGATTGTTGACCCGTAAGAATTCTCTACGCGCGCTGAACTCGTTCTCAAAAAGCTTCCGAGATTTCTCAATGAGAGAAACTCGTTCGTTTTGATTAACGATCAATTTTGTACTTCGAGAATTGACCGAGTAATTTAAAAGATAGTTTGCGAGATATATAAAAAAGTTTATGTAGTTCATAAATCTACAAAAAGATGTGTGAAATTTTTTGTATTTTTATGACCGTTTAGAGTAATTATTAGCGGCTCGACTGAGAATTAAATTACATTTCTGACTGGTCGCTTCTTTCTTTTATGAGGAATGTAAAGAACCGTACGAACGCCCTTTGACTTACGATTTATTATAATTCTCTCACGCGCGCCACGCAAGAATCACGGGTTTGCCACGGACTTTTAAGTGGACAGCAGTTTATGTGAAAACCGGCTAACGACCGCCATCGGCGCGGCAATAATTTTCGCGGCGCGATTATACCGCCTCGGTCGCGCGCACGCACAACAGTTTTTCAACGCACCTAACTGTTGTGCGCTACCTGTGTTGCAGCTCGACGACACGGCGCTCCAGCTGTACAAGGGCGGCGATTATGGCGCTTACCTGGACCTCGAGGCTTCCATCAACGAGCAGCAGGAAGAGTTCGAGGGCTTCCACGAAGGTGAGAGGTGAGTGTCGCACGTATATACATCGCCGATAATTACTAGTATATTTCGAAACGTAAACGCTGACAAATAAATCGCGCGCTTCGAAAACCAAATTTCAAGTTCCAGTACTCGCAACATTCCCGATATTTTATTGCAAATTTTTTCACGTCATCTCAGAATTACGACACGCAGATATTTTAGATCTTTTTAGACTTAGCGGATGTAATTTCGCTCGCTTTACTTCAATCGCGCGTAATGACAGGCACCATTACGCACGCTTAATTACACTTCGGGATAGTTGTTTTCTTGCGCGCCACCTGAGAAGGTGGCGGGATCCTGTGTCTTTATGAGACTCTCGCAGTCAGTAGACTCTCGAGATCACGCGGTGCGTAGAACGGAGAGATAATGAAAGAGACTTAGGTGAGAAGAGGACGGAGTGTGCGAGTTTTTTTAGGTACGTGTCGCGAAGAACCGAGACTGTAGTCCTGAAAAGAGAAAGGTCAATGATATATTAAATAGCCTTTCTTTCTCTCTCTCTCTCTCTCTCTCATCGCGAGGACCCATCTCGAAGTAATGTGACGGATATATCGGAGGTCGCGCAAAATGTCTTGGACGGAATCGAGCAATTAATCCGCCCTGTTGTTGGTTTGTAATCTTCCAGAAGAGTGAAAATAATTTCCAAACACACATGCATCTTGCATTCGCTATCTCGCTTTATTTTCAACTCGCTAAAATGTTTATATATTCGCGTTCTAAGACGTTCCGTGTGTACGGTAGCGAGAGATATATTCTATTCGGGGTGAAATATGCGAGAAACCAGGTTGGTTTCCGTCGTTGGAAATGCACAACAGCAGCGGCCTGCGGCACAGTATATTTGCGGTCTGCGTATCGAATTCGCGTTAACACCGTGAAGGCTAACCGTGCTCATTGAGTATTAACGCAGGTAAATTCTCCGGGGAAAGGCGGACGTCGTTAAAAATTTAATTCTCCCCTCTCTCTCTCTCTTCCGTTTGAGAACTCCCGAGATCCGTAATCTCTTTTCGTTCGGTGACTTTTCATTCTCTCCTCTCCTCTTTCCTTGTGACCCTACGCGATTGCTCACCCACGACGTCATGCGTGCGACGTGCGAAACAATGGTAACGAGAAACGCGGAAGCACGTAATATTTTTATTCCTTATCATCTTTTTCTTCCAAGCGGTGAGATTTCTCTGATTAAATTGTTTGTTTATCGAACTCTAATCGCGCAGGAAAACAGAGAGGATAAACACTATTGGGAAGAACATTGTATACGCGTGTGAACACTGTGAAAATTACATAATTACATACAATATTCTTTGTTGTTGTTGATTTTTTTTTACATTATTAGAAGGAATTATGAAGACGCCCAGATCCGTCTTCGTTCGTCGAATATTTAAACAAAAAAGTGAAGAGACGCGAGATCGAATTTCGTCAACGCATATAACGCAACTTGGTCGTCGCAACTTTAATTTTTTGCAGCAATTGATCAAGACCGAAATGGGTATCGTACACACGCGCGTTGGAAACAAGATCGCTTCCAGTCCATTAATCGGAACCACATCAACGCGCACTCGGTGTACACCGCCTTCGATCGGATTGCATTTCGCCGGTCGCGTCGCGCGTTCAAAGGCACGTTCGCGCGAAATGTCGAGTAAACGCGGGTAGACCAAACGTGGGGGAAATATGGGGAGGGGAACAGGAGGATTGTGGAATTGGTCGGACACACGATTTCGACGGCAGCGAGAACGATCCGAAAGGGGGAGTTGAATAAATGTTTGCTCGTGGAGATATACGTTCCAATATTTGAAACCCCGGAATTTCCGCGAACCGCAAAATGACATCATACGTTTACCGCGTGTTCTCACTCTCTTCCTCCCGTCCCTTTTCCTCTTCCTCTTTCTCACCGTCTGCTTTGTAATCCGCATATTCGATGTGTTTTCTCTTGGCACAACCCAAGTTCCGAGATATATGTTTTATTTATTTACGCGGTAATACGGTGAAAAATTCACTGCTTTGACACCGCCGAATTTGCTGATGATGATCGTGCGAGCGCTGCCGATCTCTCGCGTATATAGGTACAGCGTGAAATTACAGTACACCGGTGGTCAGCTGCGGTTCCCATAGCAAACCGTCTGTCATTTCGATGACACGCGACGACAAGCAAACTTCGTTGCCACCCACGACGGCTGATTTTGATCACGAAATATAGCCGCGTGAGAATCGCTTCCGCGCGTCCAGTGTCGTTTTACTCGCGCGCACGATTAAAAACGCGATACAAAACCTCAGGTGATGAAACACAAGTAGTTAAACGCTACACGACGATTTCCATAAACTCGCGTTGGATCAAGTGTCCCTCTAATCGCGCCGATAAATAATAACACGGTTGAAAGAATTTATCGAGCGGAGAAAAAAAGAAAGAAAAGAAAGAGAGAGAGAGAGAGAGAGAGAGACGCACAACGCTTCGGATTTATGTAACTCGTAGATAGAGAAAAAGACACGGGAGGAAGGTAGCACACAGCTTTCGCGTGGGTAACAAATCGTTTATCTTTGCGGTAATGCCTGGCAACTGGCCGCCCACGCGTACGAGATACCGGCCGCATGCGTATTCGCGATATTTCTCACGCAGCAGAAACGCTGTTGCGCCTCGCGCGTTTGCAAAATTAATTTGCGTATAGTTGCATCCTAGGCGGTCAACCGCGTCTTGCACGTAAAAGAGGCGGAGAGCTTGGCGCGGTAACAAATTGAAAAGACCTCCGGAAGAACGTTGCAAGCGTTCTTTTTTAACAATGCGGTAGATATCGATAAAACGTTACGGCTTGATAAAAAAATTCACTGAAACTTTCAATAAATGCTAAATGTTTTTGCGTTTATTGCGACTAATCGGAGTAATTAAATTTTCAGATATGTGTTCAGATACGTGTAATAATATACATATATTTTACATTACAAAAACAATTTCTTAAAAAAACATTTCTTGAAATTCTTTTTGTTCCTCAATTTCCGCTGGGAATATTGAAAGAGTTGTGTGTTTACTTGCCTATTGACAGATTGTTACGCGGAAAACATTCATCATTCCGCCAAAGAAGACATCATCTTGCTTCAACGTCTATTTTTATTCTCGCGTCGATAAAATGAAACCGTTTGCGGGACGAGATAAAAATCCTGCTTGTTTTCATTCGTGCTTATCCCTGTGGAAAATGAAGGTTATCTACAGGCCGGGTTTTTCCCGAGAAATTAATCAGCCAGCGGAGAAAGTAGAGACGGTGTACTACCGGAACGCGTCGAAACTTATCTCTATTCCGTGCGCGGCGTACTTAACTGAAAGGAGGTCCCGTCGGACTTTACCTAATAAACTTCGTGTCATCGCGTTTCCCTCACGCGCCCTATCATCCCTGCGCTCTCTCTCTCTCTCTCTTTCTCTTTCTCTCTCTCTCTCTCTCTCTCTGTTTTTCTCGCTTTCTCTGTTCCTCGTGTATAACCTGTTTGAATGCGCGTAGGTATCGGTATACACACCGGGCGTATATAATTATAATGGAAGGAGTACATATACATGTATCCACGAATATACCAAGGTGGAAGGAGATGTGTTGTGAGAAGTGCTCGGATGGAAAAGCCAGAGAGTGGGTAACAGAGAGAGGATGTAGTGAATACTCTCCCAAGGGTTCAATAACCAGGCACAATAAGTCACTAAACGCTCGGCATAGACGTCGCGATGAGTAATCAGCTTCCTACGTATCGGACCGCGGCGATCATTAAAGGTTGTATGCACACACGCATTAGTCGCAATGCATTCGCAATGCACGCACAAATCTTTTTCTGACTACATCGACTGCCGTCTAACAGCTTCGAATACGTGCCACGGTGTGTATTGCTGGAAATTTTTTACAGAAGTATTAAAGATAATTTTTTTTTTCTAATATAAAAATCAATAATTTGAAGATTAGGATTAAGAAAGAATACAAAGCTTTTTTTCGTTTTGTCTCACGTATATCGTTTTCTGTTTAATGGGAAAGAAAATTTCGTCGAAAACTATTACATATGCGGGACCATATGCGACGAGTCGCGTTATCTGCCTAAGATAGCAGATATTTGCGTGACAACAATGATTATAGCTAGCTGAAATTCTCCAATTCGCCCGGTCTGCAGTACAAATTACGCTAATAAATCGCCTCATTAGTGTCGTCGCAAGCTAACGTGCGTCCAGCGAGCGGTGACATTAATATTACCGATAGCGAAACTGTCGGAGAAATGTAAATTACACTCTTCGAACAGAGATGTGCAAATTGATATTAAGCATTTAAATTGATTGCATTTATTATCGATGACATCTGCTGAATTCAAAATCTTCTTTTCGAGTTATTAAAATGTTCGTTATTGTACCAGATATAATATTGAAATGACTTGCTCACACAGAAATTCACCGCGGTTCATTTTGTTTTTTGTTTTTTTTTGTTTTTTTCAAATATTTGCTTTCCTTGAAGCTAAATGGTAAATCGCTGATTAAGTTAATGAGCTTGTGTCACCCGCGCATTTCGAAAACCGATGACTCACGGTATTTGATCCGCGTTTAAGAATAGAATTTACGCGTTGCACACGCGATCGTCTATTAAAACATCGTTACGTGCAAGATGGTCGGAAAAAAATCAAATAATATATAAATCTTTTATCTTTACGATAAATATTAAAACAGAAAAAAATAATTAAACAATATTTTTTCTAAAATTTTTCAACTTCTTATATTGCAATTTATACAAAATGATAAAATTCTAACGTTATTGGTTTTGTTTCTTTAACGTGAACTGGATTTCATATTATTCTCGTAAACAATAGTCGCAATTCTTGCCAAAATTCGCCAGTTGCACTCGCGAAAGTAACGTCTTTCAACGAGAGAGGGATTCGCGATACATTATCCGTTCCAAAAAGCAAAGGTTCACAAACAGTTGGCGACTCCGCTCGGAATAAATCGTATAACTAGGTTTTCAGATCTATTCCCAGGATATTCG